CGAGCTCGGCGGCTTTTCCTCTCCTCCGCTGTTTGCGTCTCCTCTGCGCGGCCGGTGCTGCGGCGTTTTGGCTCGGACTGGCTCTGGGGACTGCTGCGTCTCACACATAACCTTCGCCCCGCCAGGCCTGCCTGAGGCTGGGGTTGTTGGAAACTCGCCTTTACCCATTACCTGACCTGAAAAGGTGGCCCCTGGGTGCTGTTTTCGCGGAGGAAAGAGGCGAAAGAGGCCGGGAAGAGGCTCCTCGAGGAGGTGACTGCTGCACTCCTGAAGGAGCGCATCCATCGTCCATCCAGCTGTTTTACACTGCAGGGGAGGTAAAACCAGCTCTGCTTGGTGCTCAGCTTGCAGGAGGGACCTCGCCTCCGGGGTAGCTTCCCATCTTGCTCAAAGGCCTGTGCTTTCTTCAAAGCCTGTTGCTATCTGTAAGCCAGGCTGAGAAATTTGAAGGCACACAGAAGACACGTTTTCCAAACTGAAGTATTCTCAGGCATCCTTTGTATAAAACTCTCCTAATTTATTTTTAGAACTTGGGTCATTTTCTAGTTAGGCCAACAGACTGGCAGCTGGGATGCTGGAACAGAAGGTTGTGTGCAGCAAAGCGAAGCTTCAGGTTTCTTGGACTCTGTTTTCAGTGGGCCCCAGAATAGGGGGATACCCTGTTTAGACCCCAGGATGCTTGTGGAGGAAGCCATTACAGGAAACCCTAACTGTCCAAGGCAGGAACATAATGGTAAAACTTCAGCAAAGAAACTAAGCTTGAGGAGTGAGGTGTGTGTGTGACTTTGGTGTCGGAGAGTAAGACAGCTGAGGAATCTGAGAAACAATTTTAGATCTAGATCTGTGTACTGCAGATTGAATCATTGTTAGTCTTTTTGAAAGAACAGCCCAACTACGTTGTTCTTGTTGCCATGCTCTTTTTGTAGTAGTTATTTACAGCTATATTGGGACCTATTTGTCTCCTAGGTGACTTTTTAAGGGCTGTGATCAAATAACATTTGTGTTTTCATATAACTAATTTATAGAGTGACATTTATTTTACAGAGTTAGTTGTAACATGCTATAAAAAATCCAGTACCATAACTATTCTAACTTTCACATGTATTAGGTTGTTCTTTCTTCCCCTGTAGATAATGTAAAGTTGTTTTGGTTGTTTTCTATTATGGGGAATACTTAACGGGAAGTGGGCTAGTGAAAAATGTGACCTTTTGCACTGGGAATTCGTATCCTAGGCCTGAAAAACCTGGGACAGTGAATTTTTAGAATAATGAATAATAAAAATATAACAGTAATAGTGAGCTTTTGGCTGGAATGGGTTACATTGATGGTCAATTATATATCATGCACTTCTGTCTCAAGTTTAATAAACTAACTTTCATGAAAACAAGCTGGGGATTTTTGAGAATATAACCAGTTCTCCGGCAATTTTTTTTTTTTCAAATGGACTTCCAGATACATAGCATATATTCGATGTAGATCACTTACAGTTTAACTCTGCCCATAAGGTTCAAAAAGGTATTTTCTTTGACCACATGAAAACTGCTTCTGCCTTTCCTTGCTGAATAGTCTCAACAGTATTTCATGTTTTTAACTTTTTGAGCAGTAGTATAGCTACAAGGTAACTGGGTCCCAGCACCATCCTGTGCTTGAAAACTAGTATTTATTCCTTCTCTTCCTCTGGATTTTCCAGAGGCTTGTGTCCAAGTCCTCTTCCATCTTTGGATGCTTTGAGAAGAGGATAAAGATGATGTGTAGTCTTGGACTCTGATTCAATTACTTGCTTTGCATAGCTCTGAAATTCACGCTCCTTACAAAGTGCAATAACCTCTCTCTGAGCATCGTAGTCCAAATCTGCTTGCTTTTCCTGCTGTTTTCTTGCCTGCTTTTCAGCCTGATGAAGAAAAGGGAATAATAAAGCTTAGTATTTTTTTTACAACATAACTGTCCCCTAAAACTTACAGAGGGTAAAAGCTTACAGGAGATCTGCGGTGATGTTAGTTGATACTTGTCAAATATCATCCTTTCCCACTTCTCTCCCCCAACCCCCCGCCCTGAAAAAAAAAAAAAAAAGGGTACATTAAATAGCTGAGTGAACATCAGCATCAGCTGCTGCTCTTCGGTGACCCGCTCAGAAGATATAAGAGAGCAGCAGTAGTACATAACAGTAGAGGACAGGATGTGATCTGTCATTGCAAACCAGCCTTGACTTGCACCTCTGCTCTGAGAGGAGGCTGGTCCCCAACAGCAGCATATGAGGACCATATGTGATTTAAAAAACAAAACAAAACCAAAGCTGAAATAAACAAAAAACCCCAAACAAAACACAGCAAGCTTCCTCTCTCTCCCTCTTCCTCTCAGGCAGGAGCTAGTGCTGTTGGTTTAGATGCATGCTTCTTTCTGAAGGGGCTGACAGGGTATAGTTCTTCTATTTACCATTTGCTGGATCTGAATTTTCTGTACTTCCATGTTTGCATCACGTTGTCTTTGTTTCTTGGCTTTTTCCATTTCCAGGTATATGCGGTTCTGTTCCATTAACTCATTAAGTTCTTTTTTACCCTCTGCTTTTTCCTCTCTCTCCTTTTCCATTTTCATCTTCATCTGCATTTTACAAAATACACAAAAAAAGGTAACCAAGGAGCTAGCCTGCTAAGCTGGAAGTCATATCTTTCAGCAGAAGCAGCCCTGTATCAGTGCTCTGATAAGCATGGCCACTGTGGATAGCCAGTGTCCAAGCCCAGGGTTTTCAGCAGCCCTGGCAAATGTGTACCCAACATGGAAATGGGAGAGAAGACCCCAGGAAAGATGTCAGCAGACCTGATGAAGCATGCTGACGCATGGCACCAGAGCCACCAACTGTGATCTGGGCCAAGCTCCTCGGTTGGAGTAAGCAGGAATAAGAACAGGCTAGGTTTCTTACCACAGTGGCTCTATGTTCAGCAATAGATTCAATGGCTGCCTTTTCTTTTGCTTCTTTCTCTTTGCATTTTTTTTCTTGTTCAGCTTCTTTTTTTGCAATGTCTCTAGCAAGACGATCATCTTCCCTCTTTAACGCCTCACTCATTTGTACAGCTAATTGGCTAACGATTTTGTCCTGATGTTCCTGTGTTAGTCTGCAGAAGAACATGAGCTGCTATAACATACCAGGGTACACACCTGGGTCTACCTGAAGCATTACTGCTACCAAACTCAGCAATCCCGCTTCTCGTCTTCTCTTCTCTTGCCACACGGGCCAGCCCACCCACCCAACACCTTGATCTCCTTGATTTCCTCTGGTTTTATTTTTTTAAAATGATCTGATTTAGCAAATAAATGTTCCCTGTATTCTTGTAACACTAGTTTTCTGTTGCAAAAATGAGCTGGATCACTCGGGGAGGAGTCTGCCTAGCATCTTGCCATCAGGAGAGAAACGTTGGGAGTATTGGCCAGAAGTAGGAAGAGAAGGAAGCTCTTACATTGGCTCAATGGTATCTTCATGTTGCATCCTCACTGTCAAATTGGTAAACCATCTTCCCTTAATAATAACCCAATGCAAGTAATTAATATAGGTGCCTAGTTAAGAAGTCAAATTATTTTTCTTGATCTGACTCAGGCAAATATAGCTTATGCCCCAAAATACTTTCGTCAAGGATTTTAATTGTCTTTAATTGTTGAGGAGGTGGAGGCTTGGCAGGCCATACGGAAAATCACTGTTCCTAACACACTGGTGTAGAGCTTTGCACTTCTGTAAGTCTTTGTACTTTGAAGGACGGAGAGATTGCTCCCACACACACCTATTACTAAGGGACCTGTGAAAGAATTTCCTTTTTCTCCTGAATTCCCTACTCCCCCTATCAGTAGAATTTAATTTTTAGAATAACTGTGGTTTGTGTTACATCATCAGTCTAAAAGATTTCAATATGACTACAGTATAATTTTTAGTTTATTTACAATTTATACTCTAGCTTTGTACCTACCTACGCATTTCAGCTTCTTTCTTTTTTATCAGCTTGGCAATAGTTTCCTTTGCTTTAAAATGAGCTTTAATCCGATCATCTTCTTCCATTTGTTTTTGTTCCTCTACTGCCTTGATAATTTTCTGATCAGTTACATACTCCTGCGTGGGCAAAATGGTCCTGATATAACTGATGAAGTTCAGAAAAGTTGGGTCTAGGGTAGCAACTTAAAAGAATCACTCCCTATTCTCTCTCTTTTTGTTTCTTTCAAAGAGAGAAGAGAGGAAAGAGATTCTCAGTACTTCCACTTACTTCTGCCTCCCCGTTCAAACATGCATGAGGAGGAGATGGTAAATATGAGGAAGGAGAAGGGGAATTGAGCATTGAACAGCTGGTTCTCCAGCTGTTACACAAACAAATTGCTGTGCAATGCAGTGAGCATTATCCCTTGCTCCCATTCGCACATGTGGGAGAGGGGGATGTTGAGAGGAATGGGACTGTGCAACCCCCACCAACACATACACAGCCTGTGCTGCTCCTGGCCCACATCATCCAAAACTATCCCACTCTGAGAGCTTAATCCAAATCATAGCTGAAGAAGAGTTTTCTCTAATTTTAGATAAAAAAACCAACTGTCTTCTGTATGCTGGCCAGAACTATTCTGAGGCAGGTCTAGTTTGCATTTAGCAATATGCCTTTAAAGGTGAAGAGAGAAGGCAGCATGTCTTGACTAAATTTCTAAACCTCTCCAATCATAAAGGGAAAGACAAGTTAAAAAGATACTCTTATGTTCAGACTCAGGCTATTCCCTTTTCCTAACAAAGGAAAATGGGCTTAAGCCAGCAGGTACATGGAACTTAAATCCAGTTCTCAAGTCAAGGAGAATATTCCTTGATGTCTGCAGCAGACTTTTTAATCATGGACCAGTTGAAGCATCAGGTGCCAACGTCCCTTCAGGCAACAGAAGGGACGTGCCTCCACGAGGCCTTTCTCAAAAGCACAGAGGAAAGGTGCAGCCTGCAACTGGCAGGGTAGGCATATGAGCCAATGCTACTGAAGCTATCAGCAGACCTCCTGTTGCCAGTAGGCCCATTTAGGTAGATGAATGCTATTGTTTCATTCCAGGCAGCCAAGGTGAAACAAGCATTTTAAACTCTCTGCTTTCCTGTTACTTACATGATACAGCCTCTGGTGTTCAAGTTTTTCCTCCTGTTCCTTTTCCATTCTTCTCTGAATTTCCAACTGATACAATTGGTTCAATCTCTGTATTTCTTCTCCTTCTCTCTTGTCTTCTAGCTTGGCCAGATCTGCCTGATGCTCGTGCTCCTTTATTCTGAATCAGAAAAAGAAGTTGAATAGACGAGCTAGGGACTGCATGAACTAATGAACAGATACCGATTCTGCAAAACCATAGGTACCTTGCACTGAAGGATGTGATGCTTTGAATTGAAGGTGGGTGGATTATCAGAGGTGAAAAATAGTGTCATTGCTTGTCCTCAATCCTCTGACCAGAAATTAGCTATGATATGCTCATAGATTGTAGTCTAGTGGTAACAACTTTTATCTGGATGACCCGTTAGCACCACTGCATTCATAACATTTTGGCCTATCTCTGCAGCATCCTCAGTGAACAAGATTTTCCCAGTAAGTCCCACCATATCTATGCTTCTGCTTCTGGGCATTCAAGCAACAGCTTAAACTGGTAGTGTTCTATACTAAGTTCTGCAAGGATTTATGTGTTGGACCTGGAATATGTGAGACCAGACTTTGAACCCTTCCTCTGCCTCAGGGAATTTGATTCCTTCTATCAGACCACAGGGCCAGTCCTATAAATACCGCTGGGGACCCCTCCGTAAGGTTTCTGTGAGAGCCAAAAGAAAGAATGGAGGTGGCGGTGATGTGTTCTCTGGAATCTAGTTACAGAAGATCTGGTTTAACCTTTTCCTTTTCTGGGACCAAAACTGAGTTAAAATACACTTTCAGCGACAACTTTTGAACAGTGATTTGACTAAAACCTATGCCTACCAGAGGCGATTTTACATGCGGACTGTTGGCAAATAAAAGACACTGCACATCACAGCTTTTCCCTTTTGTGCAAGGTCTTTTGTGGCGCTCTGCATTTTTCTTCTAAAGTGTCACATTTGTGAATCAAATTATTAGTAAGTTTCTGTAAAAACCTTATAGAATGTGTTTGTGAGAAGAGAGTTTAAGTAAATAATAAAGTAGGGTTACTTTTGATTAATTAGTACTTACTGTTGCAGCTGATCTCTGCGTAGTGCCTGTTGACTCATGTAACGCTGATGTGCCTTTTCTTGCTCTCTGACAATAGCTTCTTTACGTTCAAGTTCGTTTTCTTCATCCTTCTTTTTGTTAACATCTGACTTTAACTTTTTAAATTCAACTTGAGCATCTCTTTCTTTTAGGACCTCAGCAAGTAGAAGTGCACTCTGCAAGAGAATATTTAAAGTGATTTGCATGTTCAGAAGTACTTAAAGAAATTCAGTACAATTTGAATTTAAAAATTGTAAGTTGTCAACCAACATGCAACCCTTTCACTCTTCCGTTCTGATAGTATAGGTAGGTTTTTGCACGATCAATAGCCTCCTTCCGTTTTGCTGCTTGGAACTGTTCTTCTTCCAAATCAAGTAGCTTTCTTTCTTCCTCTTCCCTTTCTTCACGTAATTGTCTGGCTTTAAGTTTCCGCTGTGCCAGGCCCTACAGTGCAGATAAAGTTAGAAATCACATTTAAAGCACATGGATTAAAAATGTGTAAACCATTCTAAAGGTGATGTACTCAATGTTTGTTTTTTTTTTTAATTTCACATTTTAGCTTTAACTAAAAAATTTAAATGTTGATGTTAGATGTTAAATGTATTTAAGTGGAGTTTATTTAAAACACATATTTAAAAGCAAATGTTAAACAAGGGGAGTACAGCTAGAAATGTTACCATGAGTGGTTTTGCATATATGAAAATGAATCCCTTTGTTTACAAACGTATCTTGTACTTACCATAATGGTATTGGGCCAGTCTTTTACAGCTGCTTTGGAGCGTAAGTGCATTTCTTCCCGTTCTTTCTTCTCAGCGAGGATACGTGCTGCTTCTCTAGTTGTTCTGCCAAGATTGTCCTGAATCCTTTCCCATTCTGCTTTTGGCAATACAATTGCCTGATGAAGATCTTCATTTCGAAGAAAATATCCATCTAGAACGTTATTTTCTTCCAAATGACGTGACGCTGTGCAGAGGGAAGAAAGGATACTGAGGTTACTTGACACCAGAAAATCCTATATTCAAACCTGCATCAGAATTTGAGTTCCTGCATAGTAACAGCACTATGTTATCCTAACAGGAACTCTCCCCATCCCAGTACCCCAGAGCTAAGACAAGGGTATCTGTATCTGTAGTCTAACTACAGCCAGTGTGTGTACTTGGGCTGTGGCTGAATGACTTAACTGTTTGTACGTCCCCTTCCCTGTTTGTATGTATGTACAGGGTTTGGCTTGTGGTACCTAACACTTTCCAGGCAGTACTTGAGCATGATTCTGAGAACAGCAGAGACCAGAGAATATTCCCAAAAGTAAAGGGGCAATATTGGTGAAGCCATTTTTCTGGCTGGATGAGGCAGCAGTTTTGGCACAGGCTGTGCCTTACCACCCTTGCCCTGTGCACTCATCGTATTTACTAAAATAGATCTGGCTTGTAGAACAGTTTCTTGATTTGTTGGAAAGATTAGCATTTCTTTCATGTATTAGGCTTGCATATGCATGTACATGCATAAATACAGCTTTTCTAGGTGATCGCTAGGCTTTGTGAAATGCCCTTCAAACTGTCACCAGTATTTTTGAAGGAAATGGCGCTCCGTACGGAGGGGCGTCCTGTTAGAAATTCTCCTTGTTCATCTATCTGCAGCAGACTGACATGCCGTGTCTAAACTGTAAGGAGGCTTTCTCTTACAGCGATACTTATGTCAAAGTCTGTTTTTCAGATGCAGTTGCTAATCTGTTTGTCTTATGGTGAGGACCAGACCTGATCTTCTCCCTCTGTCCAAGGGGAAGGTAGCCTTGACAAAAGTAAACGTACGCTGACACACTGCTCCCTACGGACGGGGAACTGCCAGGCACCCGGTTCTTCTCTAACTTCCAGCTGTTGGATGATACTGTACCTCCACTGGTTTCAGGTTAGTTCTTTCTAGGTAATTCCAGAAACAGCCTGTCTTGTCTGCAGCCGGGAGA